CTGGCATGGCGAGCACTCAACCACTTTTGAAAATGGACGAACGTCCTTCATCTATTCAATTTATGTTGCATTCTGTCGGATGTTTTTGACAAGGTGCATAATAACGGAATCAGAGGAATGAAAAGCCCCCTGAGATCATTGAGGGGAGAGCAACTAGGGTCAGAAAAAACTAAATAGTAAAGGCAAACAGGACCAGATGCATACCTCTTCTGGTCAGTACGTCGGAACACGATACTGCAGACCTGTTTTAGTTCCGGCAACAGCGTGACCGATAGTCTGAAGGCATCCTTAAAAAGTTCTCCAATTCTTTGTGTTTTCGCGCATCCTCAGTCGATCGCCATAAATGACGCTTTAAGCACATTGCGAGCACAAGAACTAACAGACACGAGCAGTTTGTGAGTATCCAGTAAACTAGGTGCTGCATATCCGGAGTACTCCTGATGTAATCGTTTAGACCCGGGAATAATAAAACGGCTGGTGTGGTCACAGAAATACGGTGGTTTACAGCACAAATCTCCAAGGTGTTAGAAATGAGCGTGTTGTAAAGCCTAAATCCCGTAGACAAATGCACAGGAATATATTAGCTTTGGAAATCCCCGAGTATAAAGAAGTGATGATTTTCGTGCGATAATGCTCGGTCTTCCTCGAGTAAATCACGTAAAAGTGAATTCTGCCTGGCTGTAGTTATTTATTTACATTAACTTTGTGTATAAAAGACTTTCAGGGTATCACTATATTTTCGGTCATGTTCTTTCCTGAAAGTCCCCCTCCCCCCTGCTGTACTACCGCGTTTGATCGTTAGTATTACAAGTCTATACTCAAGCGAAATGGACTAAAATGGTTAAAGTTTTTGGTACTTCAGGAGTTCTGTGCACACTTAGAGCATATAAGCGATCTGCCAAAATCGATTTTATAAGTTTATTGGACGGGACTTGACACATTTTGTGAGATCCACGTCCCAAATGTCCCTTTTTTCATAACCAAGCTATAAGAAAGAAGAGTCAAGGAACAAAGTACGCATTTGACAGGGCAGAGCCAACCTTCTACTGGTAGGCAAAAAGGGGAAAGTTATTGACTCGCGCCGACTACTCTTTTTAAAAGAGAAATGGGGGCGAGAGAGCCATTTTTCGCAACTTTTTACTCATTTTGGAACAATTTTTCTGCTACTTCATTGACCGAAAGCATTATAGTACTTAAAACGATTTTTTACTCCTAGTACCTGTTCATAATGTCTACTAAAGATATGAATTGATGAAACCACGAACTTTCACCACGGGATGGATACATGCCGCCTACCCCTTAAATACCGGTCGCATTTTCTACCACTTCCGCTGTGATAGTGTCACAGTCGTCTGCGCAAAACGTGTCATCCCTCTTTTTATGATTCGTAAAGTGAACCTGATTTAAAGTGAGCTGCTTTTCTGCTGGGTTTTAAGGCCTGCGGGGACTTTTTGTCACTTGTATAAACTCCGTAAACGGTCATGTTTTTGTAGGTATAATCGCTTTTATCTGGGGGCTGACAAGTTTCCATTTTTTATTTCGTTCGTAAAATACGGACTATCAGACAATTGGTCCTTGTGCTCTGGGTGAAAATTCTTTTGGGTTTGCATGTTGCACGAGATCAGGCGCGTGCACTGACGGCGGGTGACAGAACGGCCTTTAGGAAGAAAGTGGCTAACTGCAGAACAAGCAGGCTCTAGGATCTGATGAGTAAGTAGTCGCAGATCCCCCAACGGTAATCACCTCAGACGTGGCAGGACACCGAGTTGGCAAATCAGTCGCACGTAAACCGACCTTAAATCATGGCGGAAGGCCATATTTTGCTGATTCCATGATCCAACACCGTGGACTTTCCAATACTTTTCAGTCTAGGCGCACTTCTCAACCCTCGACTGTACTCTACCGATATCTTGGCGTACTCCCACTAACAGAGGTCATCGTACTGCAAAATAAGTATTTTGGTAGATTTAATCTGGAGTTTTTTGACCTAAAAATTACTGCTGTCGACGATAAACAAACCATAAAACCCATTCTCGGTTTTTGTCCGTCGTCAGTCACAGACAGAAAACCTCCGGCCTAGTAACAATTGAGCACAAAATTAAGCACTCCGCCCTTGGGCCAAGGGGAACCTTCCTGACACCTCTGAGTGGTGTTCACTGATCCATCCTGCATTCTGGACGGAGTAAAGGCGATCTTGATTCTCCTCGTCTTTCAGGTTGACTTTTCACAAGCGGTGGCGTAGTGGCTGGCAGTAATCAAACAAGCAGCTTTGCCGGCATGAAACCCGGATGGTCATTTCCGACTAGCTCTACCCTCCTCAGGCATTTGGATGTCGAGTTCTGTATAGCTTCGCTTAAACTTACTGTCCCTGCTGCTATCAGAGCACTTCTGTTTTTCGACTCCTACTGATAAACGTGACCTCTGTAGTACTTTCAGCCATGTGAGGTCAGAGCCAAAGACACTGTAGCCTGGTATAAGTAATAGGAACCAGGTCGTGTGTGGCGTGCGCAGGCAGGCTGTTTAGCTTTGTCAGCCGCCCAGTCAACGTCTACCTCCGGCCATCTTCACTTTGTCGCGCCGTCGGAGCAAGGTGGGCGAGGTAGGAACGTTACCCACATGCATTCTACGTAATGTAACAGTAACAGTATCGCTCGAGGCTTGACATGATGTCCGCTAGAACTGTCTATTGAACAAGAACCATACGTCCCTTGTGCATAAGCGTAGTAGCTCCCGCAGTTGTCCTGGCTCCATACAAGTCTCGGACGCTCGTTCACAAATCTCTCAATGGTTTCTTCCGACTAGTAAACGGGCTCTGCACGTCGACTGACGTTGTGTTTATTCAGTTAATTCAGGTCCTTCAGATTCGCTACGAACGAAAGAGTAGCTTCGGTACCGCAGGACGCGATACTGCGTCCGCTCGGCTACATTTGTTGGTCTACGCGTTTTCGGCAGCCCCCATAGCCTGGGAATATGCGAGCCTATGGGTCTAAGACTTGTAACCTCCTACTCTTCTATCGCTTGGTTTTCGACTCGCAATTTCAGCTCTTTCCGGCGTTTTCGTCAATTTTTCGTGTTTCGCAAGGAAATCCCCCGCAGTCGCTCAGTGCTGCGACGTCAGGGTCTCAGACAACGCCCATGAGGCGAATCAGCAGGATGCTGCAGATGGACCACCTTTGGCAGTAACCATCTAGTGCCGCTAAGGACGCCATTGACGACTGTAGAGCAGGCTTGCCTTTCCTTACATAAGCCGGGGAAGTAGGCTTATCGTTCTTATGACTCCTTCAGAGGAACGTGACACTCTTGTCGCAACGTCCGCGGGGGAACACGGTCCACATACCAGGCCCATTGGCGCGGACTGAAAGTCAGAGGGCTCAACTACTTCGGCCGGAAGTCGTCTATGTTATCGAAGGCTGGAATACAGTAGGGTCCCCGACCGGGGTATCATGTTCGGTTTTCCCCAATACCTGCATGAAATCTGGGTTACAGACTGAATCCTGGAGACCAAGATCCCTGACTAGAAGTCCTCGATTTGTAGCATAATACATTGGTGCAACGACAACTCTAGTAGACACGACATCGCGGTGACGTGCAGTGCTTCGAGAGTATTCGATGAACGACTAGCACACGTACGACCGAATGAACGCTAACAATCTCAAACAGCTTCGTACACTTCTCGCCAGTCACCGACTGAGATAAACATCATACCTCCTAAAAGCCAAAAACGGACCAGATACTGCGAGTGGTTGAGATTATCTGGCCTGAGCAGGGCCCTCAAGCGAGTAGCCGGCAATCTTCGGTCGCCGATGCGTCGGCTGTGAGCGGCTATTAGGTCCCATTGCTTGTCACCAACACGTCTCAGTGCTGCCGTAAACACTACGTTGACAACGGCTCCGCAAGGTGACTATAGGCCAGTCAGTTGGGCTTTCCGCAGGCAAATGTGTAAGAGCCGGCCTTCTTGAAGATGCGGGACGGGTGGCGGATTCGGGTCCAGAGCATACTCTCATTGACGTACGCCTGAGAGCTCACCGCACATCCACGCCTGATGTGAGGTTACAACATCCTTGTATCCCAGACTATAAGAACAGCGTCATGTCGTCCAAACAGAAAGAACTAGCAGCAGTGAGCAATTGTCAAGTGACCTTAAGGCGCGCGAGACACCCAAGCGCACCACCGGACTAAACTAAGGAGACCGCGTAAGGTCCTACCATCCAACTACGTGCCGCAATGATGGCCTGCCACCAGCCGCAAAGACCAAATTGGTCGGATACATGAAATTACGAGAACCAATCCTCCGAAGTGACTTGTGTGCGCTTAGCACCCGGAACCGGCCCATTTGTAGGTCCTTAACACTGTGACGTCCAAACTGCCATCAACTCAGTCAGGACACAATGTCACTGTGAGCGTCCTAGGCGTTTCAACGACCATTACTGCCATGCGTTCGGAAGTAATCCTACTATTTTAACCAAAAGTGTCATGCGGCTGCCCCTGGGGGAAATGAGAGCAAAGATGCCGACCACCCATGTAGATTACTAACCCTGCGCGCACAATCTGACGTTGGTCCCACCGGCGAATTAAGCAAGGTGTGTGGATAGAGCTTGTGCTCGAATACCAGGTCCTGGTCGCCGTCGTATTTCCAAATGAGTTATCTGTACGCTCACAACCCTTCGAATAACGTGCGTTTGTGGGACATGGCCCTATATCTACTTAAACTTGGCGGCACGTCGCCCTCGTACTGACAATCCGAATCGCGTTTAGGGGGTTAGGAGACTCGCCACCCAAACTTGGCGAAGCAGCAGGAACACGCATGAACCCCTCACGGCCCACCAAACACTGCCCGGGAAAGTGCGTCGACGGTCACAAACAGGTAATGACCACAGATCAGAAGCGGAAAGCCTTCGAAGAACGCGTTAACACAGAACACCCCGAAAACGAGTTACAGCCCTTGCGGCTTGCGTTCCTACCGAATAAAATTAAAACCAGAGTCCCAAAATGGCATATATTTAGTAAATACGGTGAGGCGGGCCCATGGAGCTCTTTATGTACAGAGCACGCACGTTCTGCCAGTTCTTCTTGAGCAGCGACACAAGGAAGTTAATTGCGAGAGTAACGTTCTGCTGGATCTGCTCCTCGCTCATCCTCACATTGCCAATGGCCACACCCAAACAAAGGACTTTCTTCATCTGAAACTTGATGGTGGCTTTCATTTCCTCAACCTTCTGGGCGAGCGGCTCCGAATGGGAAACGACAGTTGGGAATTTGCCAGCCTTGTTAAGGCCAGGACCCAGAATTCGCGGAATCTGGCGGATAACGCCCTCACTTGCGAGAAAAGCGTTATATCGCTTACCTAGGACTATGAAACAAAAGGAGAGTCACTCACTTAGCTTCTTTACAAGCTTCTTGTCCTTATTGAGTTTTTTGAGTTCTTCTATGTCCATGGCGGGAATGTTGCTGGCCCTAGCTTCCTCAACATGCTGTTGGTCACCAAGAACGCAAACAGAATATCCGGGGCGCGGGATGTGCTTTAGTCTGCAATATAACAGAGACGGCTATAAGCCTGCCCAATAATTTAAGACCCTGGGTGTGGGTCCGCCAGAGGCTCCCATCGATGCACGATGGTACTTACTTGACAGTGCCAGAAAAACGCCGATCCTTCTGTGGATCAATGTTTTTCAGGGCAACCTGGAGTTCTACAGTCTCCACAAATCTGCGCTTTTTCGTCTTCTTGCTGAAGTTCAGCATGTCTCCAATCTCCCTCGCCAAGACATCCTTGGGGATTTTGCTCCTGAGAAGAAAGACACGTTAGACAAGATTTTTTAGACAGAATGAATCCAGTCAGAACTTCTTAGAGGACAAGACTCAGCAATCGTCAAGAAAAAGGTTCATCACTGCTAGGGGACTCACGACATGGCTCGCCAACTCAGTGAGTGTGACTTCGGCAAAACAAGCCGCCACGTGGATTCAATCCAGTTAAACAGGCATAATGTCAACGTCAGGAAAATTAGGCCACTTATGTATTTATTTGTGAAAACTTTATTTTTTCCCTTTTCAGTTCAGTTCAGTTCAGTTTATTGAGGGAAATAGACGTAGGCCTTTGAGTATCCTATTTGCAACGTAAAAAATGTGTGGTGTACAGATAGATGTTCTGGGCTGAAATAGTTCGAACACGCCCATAATGGTGGGACAAAATGAGAAGGAGTTACAGGGGGTGAGCTCGACTTCTCACCGCTCTTGGCCATTTCGGAAAATAAATATGTCCTGATTCTTCTTAAAACTTCGTATAGATGGTGACATCACAACATCTGCGGGAAGTTCATTCCATGGTTCAGTTCAGTCCAGTTTATTGAGGGAAATAGGCGTAAGCCTTTGAGTACCGTATTTGCAACGTAAAAAATGTGTGGTGTACAGATAGATGTTTTGGGCTGAAATAGTTCGAACACGCCCATAATGGTGGGACAAAATGAGAAGGAGTTACAGGGGTGAGCTCGACTTCTTATCGCTCTTGGTCATTTCGGAACATAAATATGTCTAGATTCTTCTTAAAAATTTGTATAGATGGTGACATCACAACATCTGCGGGAAGCTCATTCCATGGTTTGACCACCCGAACCGAGAAGGAGAACTTCCGCACATCCAGCCGTGCCTGCTGAGTGCGCAGTTTTAACGGGTGACCTCGGAGGTTGGTCGTGGTTGCAAATTCAAAACGTCCTCGAAGGCCAGACTGCAATCCAAACCCTTTACAATGCGGAAGGCTTGCAAGAGATCTCCGCGAAGTTGCCTGTAACTCAAAGGAAAGACGTTCAGATTTACTAGACGGGTTGCATAAGGAAAGGAGCTTTGACCCCTAGCCATCTTCGTGGCTCTCCTCTGGACTCTTTCGAAGCAGTTTTGATCCTCAACAGCCCACGGCCTCCAAGCTTGTTTGCCGTACTCTAAATGCGGCCGGACGAATGTTCCGAATGTCTTAGAGAAAAATTCTTCGTCAAAGTCCATAAACGCACGCTTGATGGCGTACAGTACGGACATTGCGCTTTTTGCCACCCTCGAACAGTGGGCGGATGGTTTTAGGGAACTCGTCGTAAGCACACCGAGGTCCTTTTGGGCTTCGACCTCTTGTAGGGCTGCACCGCCCAGAAAGCAGCCTCTTGTGCTGGCGGATCTGGCTGTGCTGCCTAGGCGAAGTATGCTATATTTGGCAACGTTGGACCGCAGGAGCCAACGGTTTGACCACTCCTTCAACCGATTCAGATTTATCTGCAGTCTGTCTTCGTCAGCAGGACCCCGAATTACACTCCATATCTTCATGTCATCCGCAAACATTGCTACTTCACAGTCTAAATCTCTTGCGGCATAGTCCACGTAGATAAGGAACAAAATGGGTCCCAGTACTGAACCCTGGGGGACACCACTATCGACCATAGCCGGATCTGATTTTTCCCCGACCGACGCACACAACCTGCCGTCGACCCACAAGGAAGTTTTCGATCCATTTAAGGAAGTTGCCACCGATCCCTATTTTTTTCAGCTTATGTAAGAGCCTTTGGTGTGGCACAGTGTCGAAAGCCTTCTGGAAGTCGATGAAGGCTATGTGGACCGCGTGCCTGTCGTCGAGAGCTCGGGTCCAGCTCTGGAGAGATTGCAGCAAGTTTGTCGTGCAGGATCTTCCTTTCCGGAACCCATGTTGGCAGTTCGATAGCAGGCCGTGAACTTCCAGGAATTACATCAGTTCGCTCTTTATGATCCTTTCCATCACTTTGCAGAGAATGCATGTCAAGCTTATGGGCCTGTAATTTGTCGTCGCTGCCCTGTTACCTCCTTTGTGTAGCGGAGTAATATGCGCCAGCTTTCAATCGATAGGAAGTGTTCCAGTGTCAAATGATGTTTGAAAGAGCATCGACAAATGCACAGAAAGCTCACTGGCAAGTTCCTTGAGAAGCTTGGATGGAATCTCGTCTGGTCCTGGCGACTTCGATTCGTTCAATGCCTCTAATTCTCTTCGGACAATGCCTTCTGAGAAGAGTATATCACTGACGCTTGGAGTCGGCAGTTCTTCTGTGGAGGGAGGAAGGAACCTTGCCTCGTTTGTGTAGACTGATTGGAAAAACCGTGAAAAATACGCAGCTTTATCCCTACTATCAGCGATCTCAACGCCACCAGTAGTCTTTATCAAGGGGATTTGATGCCTGTTCCTTGTAGTTCGTCGGAGGTAGCTGTAGAGCAATTTTGGGTTCTGCGTTGCTTTTTGTAGCAAGTTCTTCTCGAATTCCCGCCGCGTCTTCATTATCAGCTTCCTCAGTTTGTTCCTCTGTGTCTTGTAGGTGTTGAAGCATTCAGCTTGTCTAGTGACGCAGTATTTTCTCCAAAATTTGTGCTTCCTGTTGATTTCTTTCTTGAGGTTGCTATTTAGCCACCGAGGGCGTTTGTTCAGTCTTACACTAGTCAGTGGGCAGTGGTTGTTGATGAGCTGCAGAAGGACATTCTTGAACAGCTCCCAGTCATCGTTGGCACTTCCCGTAAACAATGAGCCCCAGTCAAGACCGGATAAGTCTGCCCTCATCTGATTGATGTCGCCCCGCCAAGCATTACGTTTTTTGTGATCTGGAGTATGTGAAATGGAGAATAACGAATAATCCCACATAAGCACTACGTGGTCACTTCGGCCAAGGGGCGGCATGGAGGTGATCTCGTCTATGCTGTCTGGTGTTTTCGTAAAGACCAGATCCAGGCAGTTTGCCCTTTGTCCTTCACGTGTTCTCGTTGGGAACATTAAATGTTGTGTGAGGCACGCATTTAATGTTTTGCTCAACAGGCGGTAGTCGAATGCCGATTTTGGACCTGAGGTTTGGAGGGTATTTCAGTTTGTTCCTGCTGCGTTGAAGTCGCCCAAGCGCCAAGCGCGCCACAGGCAAAAAGAATCAATTGCTCTCAGAGGTTCGAACCCTGGCAAATCCGTCGCTGACATCTTCCGTCATCGGTCCTCCTCTAAGCGTGGTCATGAACTTCCACCCATGCTAAATGATAACAAAGTCTTCCTCACCGATGACACTGACAAGGCGGAGTTGTTTAGTGCTTTCTTTGCAAAACACCTTGCTACCGAGTCCGATCCGGTCCCTTTCTTTCAATCACTTTCAGATAGGACACTTAGTACAATTGATGTCTCCTCATTAAGAAACACATAAGCCGTTTGAAATACTCACACTGCTCAGGAACGGACGGGATTCCGAATTCGATTATTAAACAAGCGTCCGACTTTCCCATATTGCTATGTCATTTATTCTCGGTTTATATTTCAAAAGGATTCTTTCCTGAAACATGGAAAACGTCAATTATCATTCCCGTCTTCAAGTCAGGATCTCGGTCCGATGTTAATAACTATCGGGGCGTGCACAAAACGCCCTCTCTAGCAAAACTTCTTGAAAGGATTATTTTCAATGAAATTTTTGACTTCTGTCTAGCTAATAGGCTTCTGAGCTCTAGTCAGCATGAATTTTTACCTGAACGATCCTGCGAAACATGCCACTTGGCTTTTCTTAATCTAATCACTTCTCTTCGTAATGAGCGGCAGTCAGTGGTAGTTATTTACTTCGATCTTAGCAAAGCCTTTGACAAGGTGCCCCATAGACGTCTTTTAGTAAAATTGGAAGCCCTCGGCATCCGGCCGCCTCTACTCGACTTCATTAGGTCCTATCTGTCCAACCGATATCAGAAAGTCATGGTCGGTAATAACTACTCGACACCCCACTCGATCACGAGTGGCGTACTTCAAGGCACGGCCCTGGGTCCGCTACTCTTCCTTCTGTACATCAATGATATTTCGACTGAACTCGGAAATTCGCAAACTTTTATTTATGCCGATGACCTCAAGTGTGTTTACTCATACTCCAAGGACACCGCAAATGTTTGTGTTGAAAAAATTTATGCCGATTTACTACGCTTAAGCAGATGGGGTTCAACATGGCAGATGGAGTTTTCATCATCCAAGTGTAGTTTCATGTCTTTTGGTCCTGCCAAACTTCCTGGTCCCATAATTTTTCAGAATAACCCACTCTCAGAATGCCTCACCATAAAGGACCTAGGTCTAAGTTATACAAATAAACTTGCTTTATCACCTCATGCAGATAGAATCTCTGCCAAAGCCGCGCAGATATGTGGATTCATATCGCATAATTTTTTCCTTCCGGAAATGAAGCTGAGACTTTATCAAATGTTTGTTCCTCCAGTCCTCGAATATTGCTGTCCTTTCTTTGGTTTAATGAACGCCTGCGACCGTAATAAAATCGAAAATGTTCAGAGGGTTTTCACCCGGAAACTGTTCTCTCAAGCTTCGTCCAGTATTTCTTATACTCAGAGATGTCAGCTGGCGAATATTAAGTTTTTGTGGGTTAGAAGACTCGAAGCTGGCCTTTGCTTCCTTTTTCGCATCAACTCTAGCTCCAGTCTTCCGCACATTGACACTCTCACTCCGAGAGATCGGTCTTATGCCACGCGCAACTCCTGCATGGTGATTCCGCCGCCTCTTTGTACTACATCTAAGCGCTCCCTCTTCTTTGCTTCCAAATATGCCTTCCTTTGGAATAATCTTCCGCCTGAAATTAGATTATCGCCTA